TCTACACGTAGTAGAATGAAATTGAACCCCTATCTCTTACCCTGAACAAAACTAAATTCCAAATAGATCGAAGGCCTATGCATTAGACCAGAGAACCTGTGCCTACTAGAAGAAAATGTAGTCCCAACTCTCCATCATGCTAGCTCAGGAACCAACTTCCTCAACAAGACTCATAAAGCTCAAGAAGTAAAATCAAAAACCAATAAATGGGATTGTATCAACCTAAAAAGTTTTTTTATAGCAAAGGAAACAATCAAGAATGTAAAGAGAGCCTACAGAATGAGAGAAAATCTTTGCCTACTGTACCTCCGATAGAGAAATAATCTCCAGGATATACATAAAACTCAAAAAATTTAACACCAAAAAAGTAATAATAATCCAGTCAATAAATGGGCAAAGAACCTGAACAGATACTTCACAAAGAAGAAATGTGAATTTCCAACAAATATATGAAAAAAATTTCCATATCTCTAGCAATTAGAGAAATGAAAATCAAAACTACACTGAGATTCCATCTCACTCCAATCAGAATGGCAAAAAAATCAAGAATACAAGTAACAATAAATGTTGGCAAGAATGTGGGGAAAAATGTACACTCATACATTGCTGGTGAAACTACAAATTGGTGTAACCACTAGGGAAAGTTGTAAGGAGATTCTTCAGAAAAATTGGAATAGAATCACCATTTGACCCAATTATCCCACTCCATGGTATATTCCTAAAAGATTTAGAGTCAGCATACTACAGTGACACAGCCACATCAATGTTCATAGATGCTCAATTCACAATAGCTAAGCTATGGAACCAAAATAGGTGCCTTTCAACAGATGAATGGATAAAGAAAATGTGCTATATATGCACAATGGAATATTACTCAGCCATTTAAAATGAATTTATGACTTTTGCTGGTAAATGAATCGATCTGGAGACTATTATGCTAAGCTAAATAAGCCAATTCCCCCAAAACCAAAGCCTGAATGCTAACATACAACAAGGAGTGAGGTGAATACAAGTTCACTGGATTAGACAAAGGGGAATGAAGGGAAGAGATGGGGAAGGGAGGAAGAAAGACAATAGAATGATTCAGACATAATGATTCAGACATATTCAGACATATGAATACTCAACTAGTATAACTCCACATTATGTATGACCACAAGAATGGAATCCTGATTAGAATAAGTTGTGTTTCTGTTGGAATAACTTTCAGTCACAGCTAGCAGCTCCAAGCAGCTCAGAAGTGCTTGAAATGTCCACTTTGGTTCAGGGCTGACAGGAGGGCCTGCAGGATGGGGTGAAACCACATCCTCAGCACTTGTGGTTAGCATTGCCAAACTGCCCAGCCAAGAAACTGAGAGTCAGGGGCTTCAGGGCATGAAACCCCTGACTCAGTAAGGGCTAAAGACCCTTCCAGATTGCTTTCCACCATGACATCAATATTTACAGTTTCTGCACAGTAAGGTTACATTAGCCAGAAGATTATTGGCTTATGGATATTGTCTTGCTTACGTATGATTGACAGGCATGCTCCACTCGAACCCTGTAACAGTTGTATGCATTCCAAAAATAAACTGAAGTGGGTCTCCAGCCAGTTCACTCAACACACAGCTCCTGGAGTCAGTGTGTTGATTCTGCATCTCTACCCCGCCCCCACCTCCCGAAAAGGTAGCCGGGCAACTAATTGATCACACCAGGAACATGACAGGAACCTATGCATGTTTCGTGTATGTATAATATGTGCAAATACACTCTACTCTCGTGTATCTAAAAGGAAGGGAGGGGAAGTTTCCTTTGCCTGCCAAAAGCTTATTTTCAGAAGTTACAACAACAACAACAACAACAAAGATTGAAATTATAAAACCAGAAGAACTTGAGTTTTGTTTTTATGATCCTTTTTACATTCTATAAATGCAACTCTAATATTATTGGTGTCTTTCATTTTACAGATATAGAATCAGAAATCAAAAAAATCTATATAAAAATTGTTCTCTCTTAAAATTCCATTTATAATTATACATGAAGTCATATATATTTTTACTTCTCTTCTTTAGTTGACTTAACTACTGAATTAATGACCATATATATGGATTTTTCAAGAAAAAAATATCTATTATATAACCATGAAAGATTAGAATTTAAAATGTACGAGGGCAATGAACTTTCTTGAAATAAATCTACTTCATTAAAAAATGTATAAGTTATTTTAATTAATCTTGATCTTTCCTTTCTTAAACCTTCTTCATGAGAGAGTGCAGGAAATATCAGGAGAGGAAGGAGTCATCCAGGGTGATCCTCCACACTCCCCTGAGCCCAAACCACATTTCCCCTATAGTGGAAGGGCAGGATCATCTTGGAGGTGGTCGAAAGTAAATAAGGAGCTTGACTTCATTTCCTGTCCACCTTCCTCCCACTCATGACTAGTATTTTCTATTCCTCAAGTTTCACCTCTCCCTTATCCATTTCTGCCACTGCATCCCACTAAGGTGCCTTTTCTCTGTCACTTGGATGTCTTGCTTGCCATCCCTTGCAACATCCTAGTTGCTCTTAATCTGATCTTAAAACACAAATTGACTGGAATATTTAAAATATTGAAATACAATATTCTTTTGGATTTCACACTCAATTTTGCTGTCAAATTTATAAGGACTTGTATTTTATTGATAATATTTGATAAGGTCTGAGATCTTATTTAGAGGACTTGCATATTCTGACACTTTGTTGAATTCTCTTTATTGCTATTTTTATGATATTTTATTGAATTGTAATCTACACAAAAAGTAGACAACTTACAATGTTGTAGTTCAATGAAATATTACAAAGAAGTCATTTTATCATTGGAATAAAATCTGAATGGCTCCCCTCTGGACTCCTGAAGACACGCATCTGTACTGTCTACTCACTCCTGTATCCCAGTAAATAAAACACTATTGGTCTAGTTGCTAAGAACAAAAACAATGAGGTCTTCCTTTGCTGTGACACACGACTAAATCAGTGCTGTGGTCACTCCAGGTGAATTGGGCTGGCACTAAATAACACACAGAGACACAGAAAATACCTTTTTATTGGGGGTTCAGTGATGGCTCCTCTGCCCCAGCTCCCACAAGGGAGGCAAGAGAGGCAGGTGAAAGAGAGGGTGAGCACACCTGAAACCCCATTTATTGAGGAGTAGATACTTGAGAAAGTTCCATCCAAATGAGGCAAGGAATTGGGTTAGCCCAGTCCCACTGGGTGACACCCACTCCCAGAGCTGTAAGCTAGCGAAAGCCAGTTCCACACCTTCATTGCTCAAGGCTAAGGGTACTGCTCAGCTCCTAAGTGCTCAGTTCCTGTTCATTGCGGACCCCAACATTCCTTGACTCATTTCTTTGTCACATGCCACACAGGAAATCATTTGTCAATTGTAATAGCCCTACCTTCCAAATATTTCCAGAATTGTACATATCATCATCTACATTGCAAGAGCCTTGTTCAAAACCACTCTCATTCTCATCTGAATTTTACACTTGCCCCCAAGCTGAACCTCTTGCTTCCATTATTCCTCATTTTGAGTCTATTCTCAACATTATGGCAAAACTGATATTTTCAGAGTTTTAGCTACATTTTGTCACTCTTCTGCTTGAAACCTTCTATGAGCTCTCTGTATCAAAATAAAAGTTAAAGTCCCTTTATGTGTTGGCTCCTAAAATCTGGCTATATCTCCTAGTATTATCCCTTATTCCTTCTACTTATACTGGCCTCCTCTCTATTCTTTGGAAAAACTGGATATATCCTCATATCAAAGCTTTTTCACACCTGCAGTTTTTCCTCTGCCTGAAATGCTCATGTTCTACAATGTTTGCATCCTCACGTTCTCTAGATGTTCATTTATATGCAGAATTACCATATTTAGCAAAAATAAACAATGAACAAGATATCCAGCTCAATTTTAACTTCAAGTTAAGTAATAAATAGTTTTAAGATGAGATTGTCCCATTTAATATTTGGAACTTACATGTACCAAAAAAAATCATTAACCTTTTATCTGAAACTGGCTGAAATTCTTCAGGAAGAATGAATAAAAACTAACTTCTTCACTTTATCTGTTCTAGTTAAAATAACCCATTAATTACTTAAATAGAGTAGACACGATTTATGTGGTATCACTGTCCTCATGCCTGGATCCAGGTAAATCAGAAATACTTACAGAACAATTTTTGCACAAGGCCTATTTATATTTATATTTGATTTTGTTAACACTCTTGACACTCTCGCTTTCAGTTTCTCCATCGTGCCCCCTCTGGTACACAACTGTGCTCAACTACATTTACTTCAACCACTATCCTTGTTTGCACTATTATAGTTGTAGGTTATACAGTTTTCTTCAACAAAGGAGAGGATACAAAATTTTTCGGAAATAAAAAAAAGAATTAATGTCTGAAATTATTGTGAAAGATTAATGTTTCCTATGAAAATCTGCTCATAATAAATTTTTTAAATTGTAGTTCAATTAAGTGAACTCAGTTTTTCTACAAAGAAAGGAGTGGGTCCTGAGAGCAAACTACAGAGAAAGACTGCGATTAGCAGGTTTTAATGTGGGTAAAATTTTCAAGTAATTATGGAAAGGAGAAGTTGATCCATTCTGATGAATTCAATGGAAAAGAAGAACAATGCACAGGAAGAAAGAGAAGCAAATATGATGTTTGAAAACCCATGACTTTCCTTCAAATTTGTTACTACATTTTCATGGGCACAAAGCGATTGTCACATGAAAATATATGAAAAATGTTTTATATTGTCTAATTTGAATCCCTGCAGTTTCTCTGGTGGCTCTGGTTGTAATTCCTTTCTTTTGAAGAAAGAAAATAGTCCCCAGCAGTGACTCAAGAAAAATCTCAAAATCAGCTCTCCTACTCCCCCACTAGGAGGAGGCTGCTATGACAAGGAGTCCAAATCACCACTTGGTGCAATGTAGTTCCAAATACTGATAGTACCAGAAATACTATTTTAGTCAGGCCAAAATATCTTAATTCTTTTTTTTTTATTGTTGGTTGTTCAAAACATTACATAGTTAATTCTTTAACCTATACACAGAAATCAATTTTCCAGACATGTAATTGTCTTAATTATATCCCTGAGATTTCCCATAAATCCTTCATACACTTCAAATCTAGACACAATAATCAAAATTCTTGACCTTTAGTTTCCTAATTTGGAATAAAACTCCCTTATCTCAGGAAAGTTGTTCTTTAACTCCAACAATTTAATAGGTCAGGAAGATGATAATACACAAAAGGCAATCTTCAATAATTTATCAGCTCCAAAAATAATTATGAAAGGTCAAAGGGTGTTGTTAGTGTTCCCAGGCTAACAAGCCTGTTTCTTCTACTCCAAAACATGTTCACTCTCTTCTATTTTAGTCCCGTCTAATCCTGGTCTTTCAAAGTTACCTTAACAATATGAGGGATATTTTGCAAGGCTCCTTTTTGTCCCTCCTGGTACAGCCTGTACTTCCAACCCTAACCTCCTAAGATTCTAAACCCCTAGCATTTCTTCATGTTAAGTAAATGCTTACATATTCCTTTTCAAGTAAAGAAAGCACTTGATCAGACCAAAAACTTGAATATAAAAAAAATACAGATATCAAAAGCTCTGATAAAAATGAAATCTCACTTTTCTAGGGGAAATTCTGGCAACACTGAGAAGATGATAAACAGAACAGATGGATGGAAAAAAAAAATCCGATGCTTGAAATTGCCAAGCCACCTGAACAATGAGCGAAAGGACTGTTCAGTTTTGCCTTTGGGTATGAACACAGGTGGCTGGCCTCTGATCTGTCTTTTTAAGCCCGAGTGTACCAATAATGACATTGTCTATGAGATACTTTGAGGAAGCCTTTGGGTTGATCTGGGGTAGTTCCAGTTCTCCTGGCTTTTCTTCCTATCTTTATTTCCTTTGGCATTTCTCTGGTTGACAAACAAGGTGCCCCTGTTCCTGTGTATGAATGTCTTCATTGATTTCTGCTGTCACACTTATTTTCCTGGCACTAAACAAAACATTAATCCCTGGTATATGTCTTGGGTGAATTTGTCCTTTGTTGCTGTAAGTGATTTAGTAATCCTTTTCCTTTTTAGTGGAAATTCTGCTGAAGCTGAATACACCTCTTAATGTTTTCACATGACTGGAGGGTCACTCTGTAAGCTTCTGGGTTGGCACTGAATTTTCTTCTGGCATTTAACATTCTAAATATAAAAAAAGAAAAAGCACACAAGTATGCTTAGATTTTTAACTATTCACCCTGCAAAGGATATCACTCTATTGCTTTATCTTTCCAGTAGTCTTATATATTGACATTACTGAATTATAAACAGCAAAAAACAAATAGCAGCTATTCCTCAAATGTTAAATTGTATAGATTTCCATAGAGACAGAACCCTCTGACAGAAGCAGTTTGTATATTTTCTGATTTTTCACAGAAAAAGCATTTTATGTTCATCTACGTTTATGAAAAACAGTAAGCATTATCTGGTTTATCCAACATCCTATCAACATTTGTATCTGAGTCCTGAAATCTACAGACTTTCAGATTTCTTCAACATATCTAGCTGGCTAAGATTAAGTTTAAATTATCTACAGTTTTGGGAGATGTATTTCCTATGGCATGGATCCACATATGTGAAATGTACATGAAAATTGTAGTTCATTTTTTTTTTAATTAGAAAAAAAGCATAATACTAAATGTGGTGGGGCAGGGGGCGGGGGGGACACCAAATTAAGTATCTAATGCAGAGAGCGCCCTCATGTGGTAGTGCACCAAAAAGCGTTTGGAAACATTGACAAAGATATTTAAACTGCTCTATCTATGGACAATAGTTCTATGGTATCATGGAGCCCATAGTGTGCCCATTGCAGCCATTAAAATTGATTTGTCCTAAAAGTCCAGTTTTTTACTAAAAGTAAAAAATTTCAGTATAACTTTGTAAGTAACTACATACGGTCAGTGATGATAGGCACTTAGGATAAAAAAATTAGTGCTTTTAGTTAGCTACAAAACCATTCAGGAAAAACATCCAAAGTAATCAGATTCAGCAAGAACTAGTAAGACTCATTTGTTTAAGTCTCTTATTTCATTCACTTATTTTATTTAAATTTTAATATTTCTATGTGAAAATCTTGTCAAACAGAAAGAAAAAAAAGTCCTGCTACTGTAGCACATTACCAACAATATATTTTCTTTCTCATACACACATGTGTGCACATACACACATGTAGATCATTCTCATTAAGAACACCCAACAACATTTATTCTACCTTCACCCAAACAAGCAATATTTACAAATGGAATCAAATGGTTTCTGCATATTTCAGGAACCTGAAGATGTTGCATCCCAAACTAAAATTATTGACAAAATATGTCTACCCTGTATTCATTAGTGGATTCCCTCAAGTAGCTGATAGAGTTTTAAGGGTTAAGTTGTAAGCAAACATCATAAGGGGCTTTAGCATTGAGCTCACTATTTCATCAATGAGGTGCAAATAAGTGTGGAGATGTCAATAACAGAGTAACAAGACTTGAAGTTCAAAGGAATACTGTTTGGTCACTGAATAGAGTAAGTGTTACAAAAACTGAGTCCCTTGCATTACGAACTACCAGGAATTGAGAAGTTAAAATGAATGAATTGGGAATATTGCAGCATTAGTAATAATGAAGTTAGAGCTTCCTTTTAATCAGTACTCACTGTGTGTCAGATAATATACAAAGTCCTTCCTAGAATGTATTTTAAATTTCACAATACTCCCACAAAGCAAATACTATTAATTAATTTTAACTATTAATTAATTAAACTACTAAATTTAATTTTTTGTGGTGCTGGGGATTAAACCCACAGCCTTATGCATGCAAGGCAAACACTCTACCAACTGAGCTATATTCCCAGCCCCTTAAATATAATTTTAAAGATAACCAAAACAGTCCCTGAAGAGGTTAGGTATCTCGGCAGAAGAATCATAGGAAAAATATCACAAAACTAGGATGTTCCGGTGCCAATGAAATTTACTGCCCCCACTGGAAAGTAAGATTGGAGGAAAAAAATCTCAGGAAAGGGCTTTAGTACAAAAAAGGGGAAAAGTAATTTGTTTGGAATATAAGGAAGGATTAAGGCCAGGGAAAATTAAAAGCAGAAACAGGAAAACTTACTGAGATCAATGATTTATTTTTTTTTAACTTTATGTAAATCAGATACTATTATTCCCTGGGTCTAATCTCCAGGTCTGTATAACTGACTTTTAGAATTGGAAAAATCCTTATCCTATGAAATAAGTGGTCTCAGAGCTTAATAGTAGAAAAAGGCAGTGTCAGAAACAAAACAGAGGTTGGGTCCATGCCTTGACACACATTTCAGTGGAGTGTTTCCTTTGCAGTCACCTTGCTGAAGTCTGTCTAGAGACACTGCTTTAAGAGTGCTCTTGCAAAAATAAAAATCTGACAATAATAATGCAGTAACAATTCAAAAATCCCAGTGCTTGAAACTATAAGGTTTATGTCTTCCTTACACTATACTTTCACTGTGAGTCTATTTAATATCTTGTTCCACATTGTTCTCTGGGGAATTCAGTTGAGGAACTCAAGTTGATGGAAAAGTGATCATCTGAAACATTTCCAGGGCTCACAGCAAAAAAGAGAGAGAGAGAGAGAGAGAGAGAGAGAGAGAGAGAGAGAGAGAGCGCATGGGGCATTATTTTAAAGTTTCTGATCAGAAGTGGCAACTGCTGTTTCTTGCTCATATTTAACTAAAGCAAGTCAATTCAAGGGCTAAACATTAAAACTTAAATGTGCCCAAGAGGAGGAATGGAAATATTTGGTAGTCATTACTAATAATGGCTGACACATTTATTTCCTTGTTTAATTGACAGAAGCCAGCTGACAATGAGATAAAATTGAATTATCTCAATTTGTCGAAGGAAACCCTGTGATGTAGACCTCTACCTGCTGTACCTTATCTCCTATTGATTTATCATGGGTGTTCTATATGTTAATTATCTTGAATTAGTAATTATCCCTCAAATTGTCAAGTATGTACATTTGCACATGATGTACATACTTGAAGTGTGCTTGTAGTTTTCTTACCACCTATGTCTTATTGATGCAAACCTGCTTTTTCTTCAGGGTCCAGTTTGGGGACTTTCTGCACTACCAAATTTTATCAGATAACTACTTCCTCCATCCATACAGACCATGGCCTTATCCTTCTTCAACCCTCATCAGAGAGCATCACACTCACTGCTTATGAGTAATTCTCACTTATTATGTTGTGAGTGCTCTGCATGCAGAATTTCCAGATCATTGCTAGTAATAAATAATATTTGGCTGAATAAATAAATCCATCTGCATTTTAATAGAGGATACCAAGGTTTTCAGGTTTAGTAAATAGATAATAATAAGCCAAGAAGATCTGAAAAAATCAAAATGGAATAGCAGGAAGATAGGCATATGGGCTGCAGGTTTATTATTTTGTTTTGTTTTCTGTTACTTATAAAGCTAACATTTCTTTCTACATAATTTTTAAAATTTAACTTGGTGATTAAATTGGATGAGAAATTGGAGTGGAGGGGTATATATATATATGAATCACTTTAGAGGCTCTTTCAAATTCCATGAGGATGTCTCCTTGGAAGATCAAAGTGGATAAAGTTTCCCCTAAAATAACTTAATGAGAACCATTACTGTGCTGAGCAATGTGTTTTCTCATTTGGTGGTTTTGCTCTTCATAGATAACCTGATAGTATATAATTTGTCCCATTTTACAGGGGAAGAAATAGGTTCTGTGAAGTTAGAACTTGCCCAGAGTCACATGCCTAGTAAATACCTGAAATGGGATCCAGATCCAAGACTTTTTGATGGTGAACCCTTACTATCAGTACGCCATCTAAACAATAAATCATAGGTGGATGTTGTGAAGCATCTATGTACAAATGTATCACATGTATGCATCTGTGGGAATTGATATTCTAATGAGTCACCCTAACCTAGGTTCCATCAGAAGTCTTCTAACAATTTTTTTTTTCTAAATTGCCTTTATAAGTTGGAAACTTCAAACTTTTCCACTTACGCAGATAAAGGTTTAGAACTCACACTTTTTACTGAAGCCTTACTTCCTAAGAAGCTTCCATTTTTCCAGTGTTGAATCTATGCTCATCCTGGTGCTGTGTGGTTGTTACACATCCAAAGTCTCATGACCATCACATCTTCCTAGAACTGAACTCATCATTTGGATATATTTCTTTGAATTTTTTAGTACTTTGAATATTTAAAGAAAAAAAAACATACAATGTTTTCCAGAAACTTCTTCTACCATCAATTTCATAATATCACAAGGTAACTGCCAGAAGTTTCTCAAATACATCCTCTGAATATACACAATTAGTTCTGGGCCTGGTCTTCACAATTATTCTTTTCTGAACTCAAATTGTATCCATCTGTGCCAAAAGAATTTTTATCAGAAGGCTCATTTAATCTTTGAATCTAAAAAATAGTTCCTTAAAGTATCTATCAAATATAAAATGAAAAAAAAATTGTTTGGACCATTTGATTCTACAATCCTTCACAGACAGGTTTTATAGGAAAATATTAAAAGCATTTCCAAAACTTGTACTTAGAATAGAGATTTTACTCCTTTATTCCAACTTGCAGTGATATCCTGGGCTTTGAATTTGTGTGAAGGCTGCAAGCAAGTGCAAGTTGCTATTTTAACATTAAAAACACCCAATGAGCATACTTTACAGGAGCAAATAGTTAACATGACTACTTAGTGAATTTTGTGTTATACAGAAATCAGGATGAGTAATAACTGATGAAAGAGTGCCAAGTAGTCGGGCTATTCTTGACCTTGCAGACAAACAGACGAACATGTTGCCTCAAAATTATTTCCTACACGTTATTTCATTCCTCTTGGTTTTTAGGAGAGTCATTTCAACCTAACCTAAGCCTTATTCAAAGTCTAGGCTTAGACAAATAAACCATCCTCAGACATTTCATAAATCATTACATAATGTTTTTTTTCATTTCATTTTCATTTCATTTCATTGTAACTAGTCTCCTCTACAGAGACTAGTTGCCATTAGTGAATCTCAATGGTTAACACTTTTTGGTCCACTCGTACCTTCTAATTAGAACATATTTAATAACATTTCAAATTGATTTATCTCCAAAACACAACTTCTTTTCTTCTTCACCTAGTGAATAACTGCATAAGAAAATTATCTTTTCTAGTTTATTGTAGAGTAGGCATCTCAATAAAAGAGATATTTAAATAATAATGTATCAATAAAGGTTAAACATTTTAACTCATGTATGGATATTACAACAATTAAAGAAAAATACATTGTTAATATTGTAGGTTTATATCCATTAGAGCCAAAAAAAATATTTGACTCACTGAGTAACTTTTTTAAACAATGCACATGTTTGAAAATACAAATATGAAGATTATGGAATAGACCCTTTAAAATTAAATGTTTCAGGAAAGTATGATTTTCAAAAAGAAGACTTTGGAGTTAGACTTAATTCAGTTCAGACTCTGCCACTGGACCAAATTAACCACACAATCTTAGGAGGATATTTTAATCTTAGTGAGCCATATGTTCCTCACCTGTAAAATGGGAATATAAACATCATATCTAAATTTCAAAGTTGTGGTAAGGATTAGTAAAATTTTTATGTAAATGAAACATTTATAAAATACTTGGTACTATCTGCCTGTTAGGTAAACAATATATGATTTCTGTTCTACTTAACATTATCATTCAAATATGTTGCTGAGGGTGATGCTTCATAGGTGCATACAAGTAATTGCCTGTGTCTAGAATACATGCAGACATGTCCCATACATGAAACAACAGAGAATGTGAGAGTAATAATATTCTCTGGAAGATAATAGTACATACATTGAAAAACTTTGACGATGTTTCCAATGTAGTCATAAATTTGATGGAAAAAAGAAAGTGGGACACTGCAAGTACCTTCATTGTTATACAAAATTACATATAAGAGGAAGTGAGGGGAAAGGGAAAAAAACAAGGGGGAGAAATGAATTACAGTAGAGGGGGTAGAGAGAGAAGAGGGGAGGGGAGGGGAGGGGAGGGGGGATAGTAGAGGATAGGAAAGGCAGCAGAATACAACAGACACCAGAATGGCAATATGTAAAACAGTGGATGTTTAACCGATGTGATTCTGCAATCTGTATACGGGGTAAAAATGGGAGTTCATAACCCACTTGAATCAAATGTATGAAATATGATATGTCAAGAACTATGTAATGTTTTGAACAACCAATAATAAAAATTAAAAAAAAGAAAACAAATAATTGTAGTTATAGCTATATAGATAAACTTCCTATTGGTTCTATCTCTCTGAAGAACTGTACATAACAGCACTAATAACACATATTTTTTAAATCAAAAAAAAAATTCACAGGAAATTTTAATTGGATATAAACAAATTGGCAATTTTTTAAAAAATCTGACTGCTGAATCCAAAATACCAATTGTAACAGATACTTTATTTTACATCATGAAAATAAAATATTGGTGTTTTCACGGTGTTTTTATATTTTTATTAGCAGTGCCAATGAGGAAAGTTGTCTGTGGCACTAGTTTCTTAGTTCTCGGCTTTTGTTGTTTTAAGTGATTGTTTTTGCAGGTGGAAAAACCTCTTAGAAAAGTAATAGAGAAAATCAAAGTTCTTCCACTAAAATATGACCTGAACAATAAGCACTATTATGAGGTGACCTTCATGGTTGTTAATCTCAGTTTAGGGCACTTATGTTGTTGTCTAAAACAATCTGATTTTTTTCCCTCATATCAGACTGTGTTTCTTAAAGATCTTAAAGAAGCAGAGATAAATTATCTAGCTTGGTACCTCTGTCTTAGAAAAGTTCCCAAAGATCTAACATGAGTCACAGAAAATCTAGAAATTGGGAGATACTGAATACATGTTAAAGAAATATATCATTCAAGAGATCTGGGAAATCTACAACAAAAGATGAGAAAGACATGTTAATCAAAAGAGTCAAGAAATTCATTTAATTATTCTCAGAAATGCACAAAAAATTATCCAATATCTTGGTCCTTTGTAAATCCATAAAATACAATGTTGAAATAAGTACTTCTTTTGGAAAGAGACTTATGTTCTATTCTGAGCTCTACCAGTAAAGAACTATACCACCTTGGGAAAATTACTTAACCTCCCTGAGTCACAGTATAATGCTATTTTGCAGATGCTTATGAGAATTAATGGAAAAAAATGCATTCAGAAAACTTATCCAAGAACCTAATATATGACACTAAACAAGTGTTAGATTCACACAATTCCAAATACCTACATCCTCACCACAATCATGGTGGTGAGTATTATATAAGAAATATCATGTAATATATTGTGACCAGGGCAACAATGCTATATCATTTGGGTGATTTTAGCATTAACCATTATTATTTGTGTGATTCTAGCATTATCCATTGTGTAAAGGTAATGATATGCTCTAGAAGATAATAGCACACACATTGAAAAACTTTGATGCTGTTTCCAATGTAGTCATAAATTTGATGGCAAAAAGAAAGTGGGACACAGCAAGTAATATCTTACTATAGCTTAAGATTCAATACCCCAGGCAAGGGGGTATGTGTCTTAAGTGCTCAGCTACTTGGGAAACTGAGGCAGGAGAATCAGTAAAGCCCAGGAGTTAGAGGCCAACCTGGGCAATGTAGCAAGACTGTCTGTTAAAGAAAAAAATACATTCAGGAATTTTTAAAGTTCATTGTTAAACAATAAATTTAAATCAGCCTTAGTGGAAGTATTTACGCTATAAAGATTGGGATGCTTAAAATCAGGGGCCTTTATCAAATGAAATATATATATTTATGTATATGTAAATAAATAGAAGAAAAACCAGAAGTTTAAAGGAAGTGGAAGAGGGCGAGGGAAGAGGGAAGACAAAGGAAAGTACCTGGGAATGAAATGGAGCAAATTAGGCTGTGTGCATATGTGAATATGTTACAATGAAACCCACAATTAGTGTAATTATAATGTGCTAATAAAAACAAAAACTAATTTAAATTTTAAAAAGCACCATTGATTAAAAAATAAGTTCATGTAGAAAAAATTAACATGCAGTGTCCCCCAAAGACTCACATGTTTAAGATTTGCTCCCCAAAGCAGCTGTGTTCCTTGAACATGTGAGTCTCTGGGGGACACTTCATATCCAAACTGTAACAGTGAGTACCTTAAATTGAAATTCCCCCAGAAGCCGACTGAAGTGGAGATTAACATGCAGGACATTGATGAAGGGTCCTTGGAATTAACTCCCTTTGAAGAGAATGGAATGAAGCAAGAATAGGCAAAGGGAGAAGTCAAGCTTCTGTATATTCAGCAGAGTTCAGTCAGCTCCACAGGGAATTCTGGAGTTGGAAGAGTGACACACCAGAACCTTAATAGATCAGGTAGCGGATACTCACTGGCTGAAGAAGGGAGAATACTCTTGGAGGAGGCAGGGGAGGCAATTCCTGAAAAGGCTGCCTGACAGCAACACTCCCCAAAGCTTGGGCATAGTCCTTGAGTCTTCAATGGGCCTCTGGTGGGCACATAACAGTGTCTGCTGCAAAGACTGGTAGAGAATTGTGAAGAAGATGGAGAAATTAAAAATGGCAGATTCCAGCACTAATTCCAGAAGACAAAATGCTGTGAATATGGATAACCAACTGACCAATGCAAATGACAGAAATACCCTCACAGCAAAAGCAGCAGAATGACAGACTAGATCTAGCCACTTGTAGCTCTTTTACCCATACTTGTCCCCATAATATGAGTTTCTTAAACTGAGTGACTCCGAGCTTACAGCTCGGAGCATTATTCATAGCATTATTTTTCATAATACTGTATTTAATTTCTACTACATTTGATGCTGCTGACAATATAACTACATTTCTATCCTTTCCTCAACATTCAGATTTTACATTGTCTTATTTTCCAAGCAACAAATATCTATGTTTCCCCTTTTATTGTTCAAATAGCAAGTGGGGGAAATGTAATGTTTTTTTAAAAAATGCTGAAGTGTGGATTAAGATCTTCCAAATACAGAAAAATGTAATTACAAATTTCCACTCTTTCTTATAGAATTCCTCACATAAATACCAGAAATGAGGTCACAGATTCTATCACAGAGAAGCATTTAGATCAAGCTAGATGTATAATCTTTTTTGGAATATAAAGGATATATTAATAATGCATTAACAATTCTGATGCATTATAACGTGTCTATATGAAAAAATGGGTTTCTAGAAATAAGATAAATCATATTACGCAGTACAAAATATTTCTTGTCAAATATTCAAATAACTCAAAATTGCCATTGCTGTTAGTAATATTAATCTCATTATGTAAAATGGTGTCTTTGAATTTATAAGTCAGAACAATTATCATCTAGTTATTCAACAAACATCTGAGTGCTTATAATGGGACAAGTACCAGGGATACAGCAATGAACAAAACAAATATTCTGTTCTAACAAAGTTATATTCTAGTGGTGGAAAGTAAAATATGAAAACAAATAAATATGAATAATACTAAAAGAATAAATAAACAAATAAGTAAGCTAATGGATCCATTATAAATCAGTGACACATACTTTGCAGAGAATTAGGATAAGATAACATGACAGAGGTGTCGCTCTAGGTTGGGCAGTCTGGGAATATGAACTGTGATCCCCATGACAAAGTCATGTCAGGCACAGGAACAGTAAGTGGAAAGTCCTTGAGGCAGCAAGAAATTCATCACGTTCCACACTCAGAAAGAAAGCCAGCATGGCTGGAGCCTAAGAAACAAGAAGAGGAGTGAGAAGTCAAGTGGGAGAATAAAAAGAGGACCAGATCACTGAGGGCTTTTAAACCTGGTAGAAAGATGAAGAGGGGGGAAAATGGAAAAGAGGGGAAGGAAGAAGAGTAATGGGAGGGAGAAATAAAGGAGAGAGGTGGGGAAGGAGACAAAAGGAAGGCAAAATTGTTTTTTGTTTGGTTTTAGCAATAGAATCAAATATCATGGCTATCAGAAAATATAACCTCTTGTTAAAGAGATAGGTTTCAAGTACCAAAATAGGGGCACACTAGAATTCTAGGGGAGAACTAAGGCAGACTGACCTCCAGGTCCCACTGGGTTCCACTGAAAATTCACAAGAAAGTCCCATGACTAGATGGGTCTGAGAAGGAGAAGAATACCAGAAATTAGCCAAACATTGTGCATTCCCTCTCTCGTGACACCAATCTAAAAAAGTTGACTTACTAGAACTGTAAGATTTTAGTTGAAATAAAGTTGACTACGGTTTTGTTTTGTTTTTCTGGACATTGTAAGTATAGAAACAGGATTGAGGGCAAACTAATCACAGGCCCAAAAGCAAACATGCAAAACAGGTCTGAAATTCACTAAATAAATAGATAGATATATAGATAGATGATAAATACCACAAAAGCATTTCAGGCCAGGGGATAAAAGAGGAGATTTTCAGAGAAGGTTGTAATTGACATATCGTCAAGCCAGGACAGCTACTCCAAACAGACTGTGCCTTCCATTAAATGCTCTGCTTGCCACACTTAAGGGATCCACAAGCAGTGCTAAGAGCCATAGCTGAGTAGGAATGATGCCTGGCATTTTTGGTTGAAAGATGACGCCAGCAAGCCATTGAGATGATAATGATTATGTTAAGATGTGCATTCAATTGGATATTAGACCCCTGCTGTCCGCCTAGGCCTGCTACTTTGGAGCTCTCCCGGGGATTCCCGGAGAGTTCCCATTGGTTGGGGAAGTGCAGTAGGAGGGATTTCCGGAGGAGGGATTTCCTGTTGGTGTGGTGTGTCCTGGGAGAAGGCCGCATAGGTGGCATTCACGGGAGTTTTGGAAATAAAGTTTGTTCCTGCTTAAGTGGCTCCTGATTTTGTGCCCAGCCAGACTGCGGCATTTGGTGGCCCATATGGGGAACACCGGAATCTTGGGGATAAGTGAAATTGCTTGCCCCTGAGGGAGATCGAGAGAATAGGTGACCATTTCAAAAAACAATGTGTTCTTGTTTTGATTTATTTTGTTTTTGTTTCAAGCTGCCTATCCCTAGAACTTTCTCAGGCAAACTGGGAAAAATGGTTGGCTCAAGGTTTGAAGTTGTTCGGCCCTGAGGAAGAGAAAATTGATACAATGATTTTTTGTTCCGCTTTTGTTTCATTTTGCTTCAGTTTTGTTTTGAGTTATCTGTTTGAGTTGCGTTATCCTTGTAGCAGAAATATGGGGTTGTGACTCAATTTGGCTATTGCTGGCCTCTCTCAAGTCCTCAGAAACTCATGGGTCCTTCTGTAAAAGGAAAAAAAAAAGCATAATACTTTACTTTTCTTAATATCTGTATTGTTAAAAATGCTACTCCTAGAAAAACACCTGAGAGTCATAATTTACATGCAAATATCTACAAAATCCTAAGTAAAATAAAACTAGATTAATATAATCAAGATAGAAACATTTATCTAGAGTGTATAATCTTTTTTTTTAAAGAGAGAGTGAGAGGAGAGAGAGAGAGAGAGAATTTTTAATATTTATTTTTTAGTCCTCGGCGGACACAACATCTTTGTTGGTATGTGGTACTGAGGATCGAACCCGGGCCGCACACATGCCAGATGAGCGCGCTACCACTTGAGCCACATCCCCAGCCCTAGAGTGTATAATCTTAGTGAACTTGTGATAATTAATGTCCAGTACTCACAATCTCAAACTGATGAGGGTACTTTAGTAAAGTCTCATAGTAGTTAAGCATAAACACCCATGTAATAGAAGAATTTAGGTTGAAAGCTTGCTTATCTAATCTCTCGTTTACTGTATTAGTTATTAATGAAATAATTCTTGACCCCAAACCTATTGACCTCATTGAGTTGAGATTCACAGTTCATCTCTGGCAATATTTAAGAACATTTTTATCATTTTTTTTAAGTTTTTAATTTTCTTTATCATGATACTATGTCACTTCCTTTCAAGTTATGTATCTTAATACCTTAGAAATACTACTTGATTAAGAATCAAGAGACCTGAATTCTAACCATAATTCTGGTACTTTTTTGATTATGGAAAAATAATAATTTCCATGGAGGTAGAAACTACATATATTATTATTAATACCAAGTTTTCAATGCCTAACAGAGATATGAGCTGGCACAATAACCATTTGTTGCATGAATAAATAAATGAGTGGAGTCATTTAACCTCCCGTTCCTCAGTTTTCTCATGGAAACAGAGGTGATATATGTATCTTGCCTATACAAGTGATATATGTTATCAGAAGCTCCTGGGAATCCGTTTATATACAAGAAAATTGTTTTTATTATAAGCAGTGCTAAAATTTAAATTCAATTATCATGATTCACCTAATATTGGTCTATTTTACAATGTATCCTATAAGTCTTTTAATTTTTTTTTAGGATAAAGGGGAAAAAAGCAAATGTAACATTTTGAAAGGATTAACATAAGCCATTACTGTTTACTCTTTGTCATTTTTTGTTATTGGAACAGAGCCAAGATACGATAATTTCACGAGTACATAATTCAACGGTCACATGTTCTTGGTATTATAATATGTCTTTGTACTTTTATTTGAATGAAAGTTTATCTAGTTCTGCTAATCAAACTAAAACAAAATGATGCAGTGTTGGTGAGTGTATCTGGCTCAGGATTTCCTCATCTTGAACCCTGCACCTTACTCCATACAGAATGACATTACTCTAGATATGTCCCACTTGTTTTTCCTCTCCTGAATCTAATCACTTATTTTTAACAAAAATCAGTGAAATACCTAGTGAGTCACAAACAGAGGCAAGGAAAAATGAGTAAAGTCAACATAGTTTAATGAGAGAAACAGAGACATACCATATGCACATTATAATGTGATGAGAATTAACCCAGAGCTCCTTGTTATGTCCCCTACCACCCAGAAATAATAACCCTGCCTCTAATGACACAGGAACTTGGAAGCTATCAGATGTGGCATTCGAGGAAGTTTTGGAAATAAAGCCTATTCTTTTCCACATTGTTATATAAATGGAGAGTTTCAATTGCTTTTCTTTAATGAAAAATAAAAGCAAAAAAGAAAACAGTGACAGAATCCTGCCAGTTACCTTCAGTTTGAAGAATGTAGCTAAATGAAACTATTCATCATCAGGATATTTTTAAATTTACTGTGTTTTGGCTCCAGAACATAGTCCTGACCTGCTGAGTTCTTGGCCATGATGACTTTCTGGCTCAGTAATGGGGTCAGCTGCCTCAGACCCTACAGAATGCAAAAGGAAATCTCAAGAGACTGACAATACTCAAAATAGAACAGGTCACTTATTGCAAATATTAACATCATCAAGTAATATTAAATCTTCTGCCTAGTTCACCCACTCAATGAACCTGCTGTACTTTACAGTCAATAATTTGTCATGTCACCAAGCTTTAGTTAATTTTGCCATCAACATCTAGGGTGTTCTAACTATTTAATTCAGAAAGACAATTTTCACAAATTTGGGGAAAGTTCCTTTCTAACAGATATAAAATCCTAGTGGTAACTTCTCTTTTTTAGTAAAGAAAAAAGGTCTTGTTGTTTTAAATAATGTTTTGGTTGCTTGTGAGGTTTCTTTTGACTAGATAAATAACAAGTGGTATAATCATTTTAGTATGAGTGAGTCCACAAAATTTAAGTCTCTAAGAAAGTCACATTTATTGAAAGGCAATAACTTTTTACTACATTTTAAGACTACTATTAATTGTTCAAGTTTAAATTAGCTAAATAACTCTTTCATAATGGAAACTGAGAATACATTATCACAACACTTGTGATCATGGACTGCCTGTTAGAGTGGAATCAATATCAACAGCAACCAAAAAAATAATGAACTTTTAAGAAGAAAATTTAAATGATATTATACAGGTAGTAGTATTTAGTAATATTTTGAATGTTAGTTATATTTAACAAAGGGAATTTTTAAAAAATACAAAACATTGATTTGCAGTATTTTTTAGTACTTCATATTTAATTTATTCAAAGCAACACAATCTTGTGTGGACATAAATTTCATAGACATACAGAAATTTAGCAAATGTTTATGGCTTTATTCCATAAGGGAAGAGAGATGTACTAGTATTTTCAAAATCAAATCTAAATGAAACTAACTTATATTCACTTAGCCCAGTGTTGAAACTGTGAAGAATCTTGAGTGCCACAAACTACACTTTGGAATTTCTGTTTCTTAGACCTGTGACCTCTGTTTTATAATTCTGTATTTTACTCCAAAAATAAAAATATTCACCCATTTATCATTGAATTTAATAAAGAACTTCAGGTTATTCAATTAGATACTCATTTTAAAAATGGTAAGAGGAGTAGAATAAACTCATTCTTAAAGAGTTAGTCATAACCAAGGAAAATCCAGGTGTGATCACAGGAAAACATTTCTCGGGGATAATTTAAGAGCATTACTAAAAGTGTGGGAAGCCGTACCCCACCTGGATGATGAGGAAAGGGATGATTAGCTGAGCCATTGTCTGAAGCCCACTGAATCACTGGTTCCTTTTAAAAATGATTGGCTCTTTTTTCCTAAAGATGGGTTTTAAATTTTAAGAGAAATTTCAACCATCAGAGCTGAGAGAGAAAAAGAACACAGATCTTGAATGGTTCTAAATTTCTTAAGCCAGGAGTAAGGTAAGATATGAAATCTTTGCTTTCATAACTTTCAGAACCAAACTCAGTGAATTATGCTCTGAGAGATTACCAAAGTCACCCTGAACTCTTGGTTAGGTCAGTGATTTGAGCTATGTCAGGAGCTTTTTAATAAGGACCAGTTAGTTGATCCCAGTCATGGGCATCCCAAGTTCTGATAGACACAATCCCCCAGTGTAAATCGGCAAAAGGACGAGATCGTCTTGTTCACTAACTCATTCAACTACATCATATGCCACCAGCTGAGTCTGTTGGTCAAGCAAACAATGTTGGTTTCTATAAGAAGTTGATTTGAGAGAGAAGAAAGAGTTCTGTTATAAATATTTATTTTTATATTTTAAATCCTAAGATGTAATACTGAAGAATGTGCACAACTGTTCCTCTGATTGAACAATTTTATGTAATTATTTTGTCATGACTTTATTTTTGTCATGATTTTTAAGGAAAGAATTTTTAAAATTAAGTATTATAATTCATTTTCTAGGTATAATCATCTGAAAATGAAAATTATAATTTTTCTTGGACTCTTGGGAGTTACATTTTCAGCCCCGGTAAGTGTCTCATTTTACTCTTGATCTCAGAGTGTAAACCTATGGCTATCCCTTATTTTACCTTTTTTTTTTTCTATTCTTAGCTTATCCCACAACGCCTTTTGTCTGCGAGCAATAGCAATGAGGTTAGTTTCAGTAACAATATCTCCTGCATTTTTTTTCATAAAACCTCAGTGGGAAGAGATAAAAGTCTTCTTTCAATTTAGCCTACATCCATCCACTAGCAAGAGCATATCCAAATAAATTCCAAACTTAGTGTTTGCTACATACAGAAACTTGCCTATAAAATAAGCTTTGCCCCCACCTTTGTTTAATTATGAGTTCTTCAAAGGCAGAGACAATATCCTCTACATATTTTGTTCTAATAGCAGTTAATTCAAATGTTGATATACAAAATGACTATTTAAACCACTGAACTGGGATAAAATTGTGTAATCTCATATACAGCAGAGATGACGTTATTAAATCCCAACTTGTTGTTTTCAACTCTAACCTAATAGCTGTGATTCAAGCACATAAGTTTTGTGGAAATTACATCTGACTTCTAACAGGGAACTGGTCAACCAACTCTGACTTGTACTGTATTTGTAGTAAACATTGTTATTAATCATTTTACCACGTATAGTAATCTTTTCATATTTTCTTTCCTTTTCTAGTTACTTCTGAATCTGAATAATGGTCAGTTTTTGCCACTACAGCTTCAGGTATCTCCATCTCAATTATCAGTTTAAGGAAAACATTTTCCTCTGCTCGACATTTTGTATGAGAACAAAATGACATATTCTGATTCCACGAAATTTCCATTTTAGAAGTTATAAATTTGCTCCACATATTATTTTCTATTTGTTTGTTTTGTTTTGTACCAGGGATTGAACCCAGGGGCACGTAACCACTGAGCCACATCCCTCTGCCCCTTTTTTATGTTTTTTTGTTTTGTTTTGCTTTTTTGTTTCTAATTTTGAGACAGGATCTCCCTAAGTCACTCAGGGCCTCACTAAGTTTCTCAGGCTGGCTTTGAACTTGCTGTCCTCCTGCCTCAAGTTACTGAGATTACAGGAGTGCACCACTGGACCCAGCTAGTTCTATATATTCTAATTTTATTTGAAGATTAAAGTAAAAAACTGTAATCTAACTAGCATTTTTTTGAGAACTTCTTATATGCCAGGCACTAGTTATCCTACTATAAGATAGTTTAATTAACTATTTTACACAAAGTCATATCCACCTAACTAATGAGAAAGGAGGAAAAATCAAGATGTGAAACCAGTCTAGCAAGTACAGAAATGGCACTCTTTTATCTCCCTCTTTCTGCTCCATATTTCTCATGACCACTAAAAATGGAACACTGTTTCTGTGGCTCATGAGTCAAGATGTTGTCCTTTTGGTATAGCAGCATTGAAAATATAGAAATTGTTTAGATTTTGTTTTTTCTTGCTTGTGACTGATTTTAAATTCTTTTTGATCTAAAAGAGATGTTCTTTCTTTCTTTGGTACGATCCCAGGGCCCATTTAATTCATGGATCCCCCCCTTCTCTGGCATTCTACAACAGCAGCAGCAGGCTGGAATTCCAGGACAGCCGCAGCTCTCACTGTCAACTCTAGACCAGTTTGCTGGACTATCCCCAAATCAGATACTTTTCCCCAGACAAGTCGGTTTTGCCCAAGGAGCTCAAGCTGGCCAGCTGGGCCCCTCACAGCCTCAAGCACCGCCACAGACCCAGCAGGGCCCTAATCTTGTAAGTTGGGCCAATGTTCTTGTCCTAAGAAAAGAAAAGTGCACATGGAATGTGACTATGAAAATGAATCAGCTTTTGGAATAAAGCAGAAGAGATCTAGTCAAGAATTTTTTCATAAAACTCTGAAAGTTCTTCCTTATATTCTTTGATTTTTAACACACACATAAAAATATTATTATTATTATTATTATTATTATTATTATTATTATTATTATTATGTTAAAATCAGCTATTCTGGATATAACCAGAAATCAAAAGCATCACAAGTTTTAGAGAAGATAATTAGGAAAATTTCATTTTAAAAAGACAAATTTTGTTAATGATAGTTAATACGATAAGTCATCCTTTTTTGGTAGATACTTGGTAATGCAAATGATAAAAATTATATGGCTAGATCTGTAAATAGAAACTTGAAATTTTTAAGTAACAAAATTTAGTTTTTTTATACGGCTTTTTTTTTTTTTTTTTTTTTTAGCAGATGATGCCCTATGTATTTCCCTTCAAAATGCCTCAAGAACAAGCACAGGTGAGTGAAGAGAATACCATTACTAATACCACAGGTGGCTACTTATACCCTCCACTATGTTTTTTTTTTTTTATTCCGTAGCTCTCTGATAGCCAGGTTATAGACACTCACACCATGGTATCATTCTGTCTAAATACAACCATTGTTGAACTGGCATTATTCTGTTGATGATGGGCTCACTTTGCAAGTTAAGAACAGGCAGCTTAAAAGAATCTCTAGGGTCCCTGAATTCTCAGGAGATTGCTATATTGGAGATAAAGAAACTCACTAAGCCACAGGGGATGCTCTCTCTGCATCTAAAGTACTGGCATTTAAGAGTAAATGAAAAAGAAATCCAGGGGATGAATGCACAATTCTAAGTGTTGTTGCAGAAACGAGATGCATTCATATTTCTAGTTCTCCTAGAGCAGAGCTACAAAAACACACACCTACTAAACTGATAATATATGGTATGATGTAGAGATAAGAAACATTTTTCTATATTATTGGTAATTAAATTCTGCTGAAAACATATTCGGGTCCTCACATGCAGGATTTCCAGTTTGACTCAATATTATAATCACTGAGTTCCACTGAATAAGAGAAATTTTTTAAATGAATGTAAACTAATAGAATAATTATATTAATATGGAAAACTCTATCAGTGTTAGCATAATTTATAATACTGGAGTTCAAAGAAACAGGACTATAGATAAATTATATCATTCACCAGTGGAGGACTAATCTTTTTACCAAAAGTTACACTACTTGGCTCTT